TTTCAGGTCACTTTTTTTTTTTAATTTGTTCAAAAAATTCTGAGTTGGACAGCAAGCTAAGTTGTTTAGATGTGCATTTTTATAAACAAAGAGTGGAAGATGTTTGGGATGCTCACCCAGTTCTTAAGCACTTTTAATATTTGTGTGAGTAATGAACGTGTGGCCAGTTAAGCGAGAAAGGGTTTTGGAGAGGGGAGAAAACTTGTTGTTAGAGTAACCTCGGCGTTCAGTTAAAAACATCAAAACAGCTATAAAGCCTGCCATTCACTGCACTAAATATATCATCTGCTTGAAAACTGACTGAATAGCTCCTTGCAGCAAAGCTTGCTACATAGCAGTGCTATATTGCAGAAAAGAGCAGAACTGCTAATTTACCAGCATGGTTGCACTACAGTAGCTGAAATTCAGTATTGTGCAACTACAATGTTTTTCTTCTTAGTGTGAAGAAGTGTATGTCAGTATGAAAACCAACAGGTGACTACAGTGTGTTGACTACAGTGTAAGGAGAATTAAGGATTGAATTCAGCACGTATTTGAGAGTGTGTTGTTCCCAGCGTGGTGCATTTTGCAAGGCATACTGCAGCGCCTTTTTAAAGGACATATGTAGAATCATAGAATGCTTAAAGTTGGAAGGGACCTCTAGAGGTCATCTAGTCCAACCCCCTGCACACGCAGGGTCACCTAGAGCATGTGGCACAGGACTGTGTCCAAGCGGGTTTTGAAGATCTCCAGAGAAGGAGACTCCACAACCTCTCTGAGCAGCCTGTTCCAGTGCTCCTCACTGGTAAGCAATTTTTTCTCAAGTTCCTGTGGAACTTTTGGTGCTTCAGTTTGTGGCCATTTCCTCTAGTTCTGTCAGTGGCCACCACTGAAAAGAGGCCAGCCCCATCCTCCTCACTGCCTCCCTTGAGGTACTTATAGACACTGATCAGATCCCCTCTCAGCCTTCTCTTCTCCAGGCTGAACAGGCCCAGCTCCCTCAGCCTCTCCTCATAGGGCAGATGTTCCAGGCCCCTGATCATCCTTGTAGCCATCCTTTATACTCTGTTTTCTCTTCAGACCGTATAAATATAGTCTTACACCTTTTTAAAGTAGACATTTTCATGCGTTTTAAAAATAATATTTAGCTATGCTGAACCAAGTTAATTATAATTTAATCATTTGTTATAAGAAGCAATATTTTTAATTTCATACTTAAAAATATTTTTCTCTTGGTTAGAAATGGCTTTTGTTTGATTACTATAAGTAGCCTTCTTTAGAAACAATCAAAGCACTTAATACTTCAGTTGTGAAAATTATGCTTTTTTATTCCTGACCGTATGCATATGGGACACTGGCAGAATTCCAAGTCAAGGGAAAGTAGGATGATTTAACATAGAGGTGTAGTGGTCCTCTTGCACAGAGTTTACGTCCACAGTTTATCACAGTGTTGTGCTCTCTCCAAGTAGTAGCTCCATGCTCTAGCGCTCAAAAAAAAAAGTCTGCATCCTACACCAGATATCTGTAAAAATAAAGTATTCTGATCATACGTTGTGTTCTTTTGTGGCTGCATCAGGGTAGAATTCAACATACTTCACTGTGTTATTTGTAAAGAAACATTATGGCTCTGAGCACTGTATTCTGTAAAGTCTACTATTAAAGTAACAACAGGAGTATTATTGAAGATGCAAGGTCATGAGAAGAGGAAGCAGAAACTCTTACTTCTTAACGTAGCCCTTAATTCCATTTGTTGCACTAAATTTCAGGAGCATAATTTGTAACTCAAGGTTACTCACATGTGTAAGCAGATACTATTTTCATTGTGACGCTTATGTAATTACGTTACCTGTATTGATTTTTTTTTGGTAATGATTTCATAAATAAGTATGACCAATATATTCTTATGGTTAGTGCTAGAGAAATAATGTTAAGAGCAAGTAAATATATTTTCTTTGCAATAGCAAAAGAAAAGGAATAAATAGAAGCACCTTACTGGGAGAGTGTGGTGCATAATTCGACTGCTACTGGAGGTGAACACATTTACGTGTTTGTGTTGTGTTGTGAGTCAGGTCGTCTCTCCTCCGTGGCCCAGCACTTCACAACTTAGCAGAAAAGGTCTTCTTTCCATTCTCAAATGTGAATGCTCTGATGTACCTCTAATATGGAAAATGACCAAGCAATGAATTTTACTATTCTGAGTGTAATATCAATGTAGACTATTATTAAAAGCTGACATCTAAGGCTATTAACCAGTAGGGTGTCCATTTGGAAAAAAAAAATAAGAATTATGATTGCTGTTTTGAGGAGTAATCATGTAACAGAGCAGAGACTTTTATTCAAGAGACCTTCACCAATTCAGTAATTAATTTGCCTTAGACTAGCTTAATTAAGATTCCTTTAAGATTTTTTTTTTTTGATTTCTGAATTGGGGAATAGGTGTTGGAACTAGAGACACTCAGCATTTCCTAACATGTTACTGTGGTTGCTGTATATGTTTTGGATTTCATTTTACATATTTACAAATAACTCAAGACTCTCAAGCTCAAGAAATAACAGACGGTTGTTGATTGTCTTGCATGAATGAAACCAGGGAGGGTTAATGAAACTAACTTCTTTTTAAGCCTGTTGAATAAATGTCACAGAACGAGTGGT